CCCCCCCGGCTGGTGCCTGCGAAGTGGCTCCTCAGCTGCCGTCTCGGTGCACGTCGCCCCTCCTGTCACGGCTGCCTTAGCATCCCCGGGGCGGGAGCAGGAGCAGGGCGATCGTTGCGCAGGAGCTAAGCTGCTTGCTCTGTCTCCCCAGAAACAGCGCTGATTAACAGTGGCCGCAATGATATGCTTTGAGTCCGTGGTCTAAAATTAGTTCCTAAGTACTGTTATGCTACTGCAGTTATTTGAGCCAATGTGTATTTTACAGTGTTCTCTCACAACTGAGGGAAAACGACCCAAAACGAAGGTTCTCTTCGTTAACTTCCAAGTTGGGCTTTGTCTCTGTTAAATCTTCAGTGTATTTGATTTATATGTATGCATATTTCAAACACGTTATTTCTAGGCTATGGAACGGAACAGTGGTTTGAATTTAACAAGGGATAATAAGGAAAAAACGTGTGAAATTGTTGTGATAAAACTATGGGAAGAATTCTGCAAATAGTATTTTTCGTGAGGTGAAAATGTGCTTGCATATTATGTCTGGATATACCAGACATAATAAGAAAGCTAATTTAGCTTTCTCAAGGCATATTAATATTATTCAATTACCTTTGGGGAAGTAAACGCAAGAGGAAATTGTAATTTAAGCTCTGCAGAACTTTGTTTATGGATTTTCCTAGTTTTACTTACAGCTGTGTTGTACAGTTTCCTTGAATAAAGATTTTTATATTAAAATTTTACCACTTCCTGATTTTATAGGCCTGCAAACTCAGGAATTTTTCAATATACTAGAAATACTTCATACTTCAATATGTAAATGTTTTATATTAAAACCAGAGACTACAGATTTGTTAAAGCGAAAAAAGGAAATGCTATTCTTACGTAGCACAAATTCACAGAAAATAATCTAATCACCCACTACTTGTTTTTACCCTGAATTTTCCTATGGTATGTTTTTTTTTCCTATGGCAGTGTTGTATAGGATGCGTACGTATTTGTGATTAGAGGTATAATTTTCTTTGAAGAAAAGTTCTGAAGGAAAAAAAAGGTTGTTAGGTTTTTTTTTTGCTCTTTCTGTTGATACCAGCTCTGTATATTTGCTGTTCATTTCCATGTATTTGACAAGACTTAGGGTAAATTTTTTTTTTAAAAGCTTGGAGTGTTTGTGCTAACTCCTGGAGCTTCTGTCCAGTCTGAATTAAGGACTGAATAAGTAACTTTTTCCCCTTTTTATAACATGCCTTCCATTACACCTTGTATTTGATTTGTCTCTCCAATTTGTGAAGACTGCATCATATGAAGGGAAACTGATTTTAGAGGCTAGTCTTCCTTAGGTTCACTTCTCTTGAGCAAAGTCCCTCCTCTCCCCCACCCCCATTGCTGTGGTAGTGTTTTTAACTGGTCCGATGTCTCATGACCAAATTACAACATCCTCTGTGCACGCTAACAGATTTGATGTATTTACAAACAAAATACGTCGCACCCTTTTATGGAACAATATAAAATTTACGTTTTTGAGAGCTCTGTAGTGAATGCTTAACAGATGCACTTGTTGACCATGCGTGTGGCTGCTCCCAAAGCTTGTAAGATGTTTGAACTAGAGAAGAAGACAAGCTGCAATGTACTGTATCAAAATAAAGATTTAATCATGTAATCAAGTGATTTTTTTTTTTATACAAATATTCAAAGAATTGGTGCTTGGTTGCTGCTGCTCCATGTTGTGGGTTAGGGTCTTTACAGACTGTTGCTGCATTTAAAGTAACATCACACAATAAACATTAATAGATGGAGAGTCCTTGTGTATATTAGATTTCTGTTAAAGACCTTTTTGTTTGTGTTCATTGTCTGAGAGTATGCAGAGGGCTATTTCAGAAGTTTGAGAAGACCTTGTTTGTGGTAGTGGGGACATACAGAGAAGACCAAGGAATGCTTAGTTGTAAAGGGAAGTTCAAATACCCTTTAGTACACGGTGATTGCATGTAGTAGCAACATCTGAAAACAGAAGGAGAATTCAAAACAAAACATTTTTAATTCTATATTTTACAACAAATCTTCTGAGATGGCATCAGTATAGAATATAAAGGCACAGTTAGATTCACTGGAAGCTGTTTGTCAATAGCACCGTAGTTGAGTTTTCAGTTGCCTACAGTAGATAAATCGGTACGTCTTAGTGCTACATGAAGGTGAAGTTCTGGAAAAGATACTCTGCTTCCATTAGGGGCAAAAGATTAATAAAACTCATTGTTCAGAATATATGAATAGTGTTACTCCTTAAAATGGTGTGCAAATCTGTATGTTTGAATGCCTTCCAAGGGCAGATTATCAAAAGATTTGCATTAATGCCAGGGAGCAAAGTAGGCTGTGACCTCATATTGATGTAGATTGACAGCTGTGAGTTTAGAATTATTTCGTCATGTATGAACTACAGCTGTATGGCCTGAACCATCAAACCACCTACAATAGTCTTGTGGTTGCTACAGCAGCCCTGAAGTCATTGACTAATTCAATTATTTTTGTGCGGATTTATGCTGCCAATTGGTGTAGAGGAGCTATCGGTATACTGTTGTTAGTTTTTCCAACTCTCATATTGCCATGGGAGAGAACATGCAAGTCTGAGGTAAACTGTAAGCATAACAAACACCTGATGTTCCCTTTGTTTCTGCTATATCAGTTGCTTACCAAATTGTGCTTATGTTAGTTTTGTGGTGGTAGCCAGGTGTAGAAATGGCAACAGCTTAGCCAAGAATGAGGCACAGGTTTTCTGAGTGAAAGTAACATATGCTGTAATAAAGACTGGTTTTAAAATATTAATAATTAATAAGCTTAAGAGTCTTGCATAGGATTTTTAGAATGCTAGCCTTAATCTGCTTACTGATTATAACTAAACTGAATTTTTATCTTTTAAAGGAAATTCGACATAAATCCAGTGACTACCCTCATAGAGTTGCAAAATACCCAGAAAACAGAAATCGAAACAGATACAGAGATGTTAGTCCATGTAAGTTTTCTTTTGTTTTTGCTTACCCTGCTCACTTTTAAATGCCATAGCTAATACATCATGGTTTTACATTTTACTTAGTTCTGTAGGTAATTGCCCTTTGATAGCTGTGTTTTCCATAACAGAATATGTGTAATAGAAGGGAGAAAAATCTACAGTTTAAACCCATTGTATTGATTGATTGAATTAGAAATGACTGTAAATTATAGTTGTAAGTATATAGGTAAATGTGAACTGCCAAGTGAAGGCTGTTTGGAAGGTGTTTTTTATCACAGGGAAATTATTTGGGGTAGTTTTGCCTCATCTATCTTAAAAAATGAAGATACCAGCAGCTGCTGACCACGGAGTTTAAATTAATAAGCCATGACTAGTTCAATTTCCTTCAGGGCTGCTTGGGCAATTCTGTACACTTATGGAATAGGATTGTGTGGAGAAACATCACTGAACTTCTACTGGCGCTTTGAAAGCTACTTGAGACTTTGTCTGTTCTGAAGAAATGTATGTGTAAAATTGTTCTATAGTTTTCTCAGTGCAAGTACATAGTGGTGTATATAGCGCTTTATGTTTTACCAACTACCGTAAAATGGCCGTTATAATGTAAGGGTCCACCACGTCAGGTGGAGACAGCTGTTTTTACAAAATCCTTTGGTGCTGGAAGTGTTGTGGACTTTTTTTCAACTGAATCTACTTTAGCAACTATACTCCAAAATCTTCATACAGACAGCTCAAGCAAAAGGTTACCTGTATGCAGTCATAGCTGGAGAAAGCTATCATAAATCGCTTTCAAAAGAACTAAGAAAAAAAAACTGAGAATAGCCTTAACTTTTCTACAAAATACTGAAATCAGGACAGGTTAAACACTTATGTATCCTTTAATATTGAATTTCCCAGAGTAGGAAAGACTTAAAAGCTCTGTTGCTGTTTGAGCTGGAACTCTTGAAAGGTTGCTGGCGTGTTGGGGCTTTCTGTTTGTTTGAGCGCCTATTCTGAAGTACCTTCGGTAAGGTTTGGAGAAATGCTGAACTCCGTATTTTCAGTTGAAAGTTGTGGTACCAGCATGTGCATAACTTCTCAAAATTACACTGAAGGGATTCAAACTGAGTCATACTGGTCGGATGCAGCGCTGCATGCTGCCTACTAGGCTGCTGTTAGAGTGCTGACTTGCACCGTGCAGTTGCAGCAAATGGATCCAGTCAGGCTTAATGCTGAGTCTAAATATTGCACTCTGATGTAACTGATCTCTGTGCAGAATCTGCATGACATTCCCCTATACAGTCCAATTTAAGAAGTGTGCATCTATGAAGGAGATAACTCAAAGTAGTCAGGGCTTATTAACTTGAGCTCCGCGCTCAGCAAAGGTAGGTAGGCTTATTCTGGACCTTAACTGATCTGTGTGGCAGTACTTCGGTGCCTCAGGCTTGTGGTTACAGCACAGAGTTAGCTTCTTACCTGTGATCTAGTTACAGAAAGTGAATGCAACGTGATCCGTTTTCATACCTAAATTGAGACAAAGGGTTGTAGAAAAGTAGGTAAGAAACTGAACTGCAACCCGTGAGACCCGTTTCCAATTCCTGGGTCCGATATCCTATACAATTTCCATGGCAGAATTTGTATTCATGTACTCACTTTTTATCCTGCGCGTGAAGTTGTTGCGTGAAGCACAACTACAAAGAGAACGACAGTTTACATTTTAAGTCTTTACCATTTGCCTTTGTTTTTTAAGAAGCTTTGAAACCTATTTTTTTTTTAGATAGCCTCTAATGATACCTGCAATGATATGTTAGAGGTGTGAATTGCATTAATTTTCTGTAGTTTTTTGGAAGTCAAATTTCTCTTGATCATGGAATGCTTTTCACAGTACTGAAGGCTGTATCCAGTTACCTTCCCCCCCATCTGTCATGGCAGAGCCTGCTTCTGAAACACTAGTTTAGCCAGGAGGGAGTTAATCGCGTCGTCTTGTTAATCCCTCGGTCCTGTACAATAGCAGGGAGACAGTTAACTGAAATCTACTCTTGAAGTGGTAGCTCGGTTTAAAAACGGTTTGAAGTTATTGCATGCTAGTTGACTTGAAGAATAGCGTGATGTCTGACCTAAGATGATGAGCTTTATGAAGTATTCGTCAGTACTTCATTCTTCAGTTTTTGGCACGTGTGAAAGAGAAGAAGGTTTGAACTGGGTCACCAAGGTAGCCTTGCAAAGCTAAGTTACTAGGAACAAGGCTGTATGAGGAGAAAAGAGCAAAACGCATCTTTGAAATAATTACTATTGAATTTCACAACTGTGTGTTAGCAAGTATGATTCATAATTGTTTCTGTAATGATAGGAGTTGAGAGGAGAAAGACACCTGGAAGGGAATATTTAATAAATAGTGGTGCATAAGTGGTGCATTCCAAGATAGTGGTGCATAAATTCCAGAGCAACTAGGGTAAAAGCTCTGCAATTTAGTCATTGTGGTGAACACATCAAATCATGGTGCATATATGCAAGGAACTGGCATTGCAGAAATATGAGTCTAACAGTGTAACTTTTCAGTCCTTGACTTTCCAAATGTAATGGCTATTTAACAGTGTTTAAATGAAATACTGGTGATAGTAATCACGTTTGATACTTAAAAGACCTTCAGAATTACTTAAAAGAAGCAAATGTTCTGGTTTAAGGGTTAAAAAATGATTGATAGTTAAAACTTCTAGGTTCTAGCTATTTAAAAAGGCGTATTAGAAGACATAAGAAACAACTTGATACAAGTGTTTTACCACTGTCATGGAGAAATAAAATGATTTGTTAGACTAAATAGCAGCCAAGCCAGCCTGAAATCTGAGATGACGTGGCTGTAAGAGGAAATGCAAAAAATTATTTTGTCTTGTGGAAAAGATCTTGACTACAGTGCAGGGGGAAAAAAAAAGATTTTTTTTTTTTCTTGGCTTTGCCCTCTGTGGTCTTTGCTGTTTTGTCCTGTTTCAGCTGTATCAGCTAGGAAACAAACATTGAAACCAATTTATAGCTCTTACATTTCTAGGTAAAAGATGCTTTCTATTGGCTATATAAGGCTAAACATCTTTGGCCATTGCAATTGATTGAGTTTCACATTGTCTGCAGTGGCATAACTGTTTTTATTAGTGTCCGGTTTTGTTGGCAAAAGAGCATGGGGGAGGGGAGAAGTTTGGTGGGGTAAAAGCCCTTAATAGTTATTGCCTAGGCAAAGATAGTACTCTTGTAGTTTGATATTAATCTAGAATAGGGAGAAGAATATCTTGGCTATGTAGTAGTATTGAAACAGGAAGTTAATCTGAAATAGGTTTGGTTTGAGAGCCAGTCATTTCCTGACAGATGAAACCATTTCTCAGAAAACATTGTTAAGAGGAAAATAACTTTTGAGGCCATCACTCTTTATTGATACCTTTAATGAAACTCTATAGATTTCTGTCATGAATTTCCTTCTACATCTTATCCTTGGTTGATATCGGAGTCACTGGATAGTTGCTCTGTAATATGATTTTTAGTCTAGTGTCTCAGGTTGACTGTAAACACTTTTAGAGATCTTTAGTCAGCTGACTGTTCCCAGATTTAGGGGCAGGAGGGAAATTCCCTTTGCAAAATTGAAAGAAATTTATGTCCTTGCTTTTGTCGGGGGCAGGGTGTATGGGAAGGAGATGCATGTGAATTGCGTTCTTTAGCCTTCCTCTGTAATAGAGTGTGTGGCCCTTTTTTTTTTTTTTTTGTTCAGCTGAACATTTTCACCTAATAAATCATGTTGCTGTTGGAAGATCTTGAGAAGTAGTGATTTCTCTTGTTTTCTTCCTGTAGCCACGAGTAGTCTTTGTGCTGGACTTCTAAACCATAGGCTTACGGTTGTCATACACTATATGCCAGGGAGAGAGGAATGTGAAAAGTATTGTGCTTTACAGGCAGTGGAGTTGGAGCTGGTGTGGACAGTTTTACACTTAACACTGACTAATTGTTAACACAAAAATGTTCCCTTTCAGTCTGCATATGCTGAGAATGGAGAGATGTTCTGTCCAAAATACGCGTACTGTGTTTTTTATTGCTGTCCATATTAGAAATTGAAATTGATGGTGTTCCATGACTTTAATGATTCTGTAAAATATTTTATTGAGAGCTTACCAGAAGCATGGTATAAAAAAGCTCAGCTTGCTGCTTTTGGAGATCTTTCGTAGTTGGGGAAAGAGGAAAATCTTCTAGCATGTAGTGGTCTAAATTTTGTCTTAGTATGTTAAGTTTTTTTCACAGTCATGCTTAAAAGTATAAGGATCCTGTGCACTAGTGATGTGTATATTTCAGTATGAGTAAATTTCAGTTATGAGCAAGGACTTAATTGATATGTCGGTATGGCATTCATTGAGTACAACCAGTGGCAGGATGGGGGAAAGTCACTTCCCTTTTCCTTTGCCTTAGGCTGGCTCTGAAACCTGAGGTTGGAGGTCCAATGACAGTGTATTGTAAACTTGGATAATTTAGCAGCTAGGGTAGGCTAGATTTAGATTAATGAAATGAAGGGGGTTCCTCTTAGGAGGAGAAAGGTCAGACTTAGTCACTGGGATGGCTTATGGATGCATGTTTTATTTATGACTTTCTTTAATCTGCCAAGTAGCATTTCACCCTCTTGTTGTTAAGAGCCCCATATTTGGGGAGCAAGAGACATCTCTCAGATAAAAGATCACTTTTAAGTTGTGCACTGGTTTCACTTCTGGAAATGTAATTGTTTTCAAATAAAACCCTTTCCTGGTAACCAGCTGCAAGAACTAACTGTGTCATGTAAAATGCCAAACACTTCCCATCTCGATCTTGATTGGATATGTCATTTTTTTGTCTAGCAGGAAGGGCAAACTGATGCGAAATGTGAAATTTGGGCCCTATTTGAAACACGGAGTCTTGTCAATGGGACAGAGTTTCACCTGTAGTGGGCAATAGAAGAGTTTGTATCAGACATGGTGGTTCTGGGGTAGTTTTCTTAATGCAGGAGCCAGAATGAAAAGCGTTTTTAAGGTTTCCACTTCCTTTTCAGGCTGCCTAATTTGTTGAAAAAGGGGAATTGGCACCTCAGATAATGAGTGCTATATTTTAGGTGCCTTGAGTATGGTAACATTTAAGATATATCTTAAATCTAATCTTAAAGACCTGTTTATCATTCATATAAATCTGAAGTACTTTATAATTGGAAATGATTTACATGCGGGGAAACGTGTTCCAGCTAAACTCACTGTCAAAAGTTGGCTGGCTTCATTTAATTCAGAAGAGCAAGCCAGGGCTTGAATGAGGTTTCTAGGTCGTTTTGTCCTCTAGGAACCTTTTCCTTTGAAAGAAGGAGAGTCGATAAATTCTAGTGGCTTTCTTTGTCCCCTGGAGCGTATGCCAGTGTGTTTGCAGCATCATCTCTGTTTGGGGAGGCAGGGGGTGCCCGTGCATACAATTAGTTGCTAAAAGAATTTGGTGGGGGTAGTTTTAGAATTCGATTCGTAATGTTTACAAAGCAGAACTTAAGGAGAAAATAAGGCTTAAAATGTGTGTAAGCATTATAGTGTAAAACCTCATTAAGGCCTTGGTAGTTATCGCCTGCTGGCAGCAATACAGCAGCTGCTGCTGGGTGATTAAACTGTTAACAGTGCTTGCTGACGTCATCTTTCCGAGAACGCTAGTACCGGTATGTGTGATTTACTATAACAAGATCTTAAGTTTTTCCTGTTGGCGAATGACATGTAATATTTACAAAGGTCTTGGTTTCTCTCCAGTAGAAACATTTCAGATAAAACATGAAAGGGAAAAGTAACGCTTTCATTTCCACACAAAATAATGCAAGGAGATGTATTTTACTTTGACATATATGTGTCTTAAATCTACTGTGGCTTGGCTTTGATAATATTTTTTCTTTATACAGATGTATCATAAGTTGTTTTAAGACTCCTGAGAATCGCAGTGGTGTTGACTTACAGCTGGAATGCTAATGAAAACAGAGACTAAATGAGTAACTTTCTTGCACTTTTGTATTAAAGTTTTCTTGGCATACTCCTGTTCTCTACAGGTTTGTATGCGACTGCATGTAAAAGCTGGCGGCTAAAGGAGGCAGAGTGACAATCCCAGATCATAATCTTTCCAGAAAAGAAGAAAGTATTTTACTGTGGACTTACTCCCTTGAATTCAGCAAGAGAAGCATATGCTTAAGAGATTAAAGGTTGTCCATTGATGATAAAGTAATAGAGAAAAGTTATTCTGGGCCTTACAAAGGTTCCGTTTATAGTCTGGTGTCTGACAGTTGCCAGTAGCAGGTAACTAGGGTAGCGTATAAAAGCAGATCAAGACATAGTAAGCAGGCTTTTCCTGGTTTCCAAAAGTTTGAAAAATATTTGTAAAATAATATGAGCAATGCTAAGAGTATAACTCAGTAACTTTAGTAATTTTCTGATTCCGGTTAGCACTCTGCCCACGTGGAGTCATTTTCATGGATTTTTCCTTAGATAAGCCTTGCGCTATATAGATTGGCTGCAGTGTAGGGATTTAATCTCAGTTCAGCTATCACAGCTGCACTGAATGTGATAACTTATAGTCATTATCCCAAACTTACAGATATTTGTCTGTCTTTGTCGAGTCTGGATATGGTGGCGGAGGGAAAAGTAGGCTGACGTGCTTTAGCAGCAGATGTGACTTCAGGCTGTGCCCTCGATGAGTTCTGTGGGCTAGACCAGGTGAATGTAGGTCTAAAAACAGGCACTGCAGCTTGATTCATGCTTACCACTGTCACTTCTTTAATGAAATCTGTCTCTTCCTGAAATGTGTTGAAGTCTCTTAAAGTGATGTCAGTTTGCTACTTGTTATTTACTCTTCTTATAAATAGTCTGTCGGGGCAGTTGAGCTTCAGGGGTTCTCAGTCTGTTGGACCTCAGTTCCTGGCACGCGGTTATGTACACAACTTTAAACTAAAACTCCTGTTTGTTTAATACTGTTCTAATGAATGGCTGAAGAAGGGTTACTTTACTGTGAACAAGTCTGATTACTTAAAAGCCTCCGAGAGGTTGGCAAATCATGAAAAAGTTCTAAAAACAGCTACAGTGGGTTGGTTTGTTTGTTTGTTTTAATGCAGCATTGTAGTAGGAGATTATCCTAATCTTTCTCATATTGATGTTATAGTTTTAAATAAAGTCCTTTGACTGCGTGCCTCTGTCAAAATATGGGCATTTTCTGTTTTGCCCATGTAGTCACAAGAGACAGAAACTGTATAATTAATTTATACTTCATTTAATTGGAAGATCTATTAAATAGGTACATTTTTGCATGTGCCACTTATTTGGCCTATTTAAACCTGTATTGGGTTAAACAATACATTAGTTGGAAAAAATAAGTTGATCAAAGCTCTGCTTGAATTATGGTGAATATCACATAAATTCTCCAGAATTTTAGCTCAGACAGTTTAGCGTGATTCTACCTCAACCTGTGAAATTTCAGTTCACAAAAAATCTTGGAATTCTCAACTTGAAGGAAAAAAAAAAAAGCAAGCAGTGAAGTGATCTGGTGTCATAGGACAGAATGCTGCCTTTTGTGGGTTGTAGTGGTGTTGCGTTAAGGAAATGCAACTGTTGAGGGATAGTGGTGAGCTGCTTTTAGTATATGTGTGGGTTGTTTTATTTTGGTAGGTTATTTTTTAAGGTAAAAAACAGTATTCCAGTTTTCTGAGCAGCTTCTATTAGAGATTTATTAATAGAGCTATTAATGAAGTGTTGTGAGGAAAATGAGCCAAGCACAGCTATCAAAACTATGTGAGAAATTAGCTTCACGTGTTTTTGCAGTTTGCCATTTGGTTCTTACTTCCATGTATTAGTTGAAGAATTTCATTTGCTAATTGCTTGCCTGTGAGAGACTATTCATCAAGATGGATAGATCTTTAATTTTTTAACTTTGTTTTAATTTCAGATGATCATAGTCGCGTAAAACTGCAGAACACGGAAAATGACTATATTAATGCCAGCCTAGTGGTCATAGAAGAGGCTCAGAGATATTATATTTTAACGCAAGTAAGTAGTTCTAGATAGTAAGTTATTACAAGGATTAAGAATATTACTGGGGAGGGTTGGTACAGTGGTAATGTATATGTTATATAAACATATGTGTATGCATACGTGTTATGTAGAGACTTTATATGTAATTTATACATTCCTTGTCTTGTGGTTTGCACGTCTTGAGTTTGATCAAGTTGCAAATGCATTATTTCATGTTTTAAGAAAAAGCTACAGGGAACACTTCGTTATGTATAGTTTACTGTGCATAAAGCTTTTCAAATATTTATTTTCTTCATCTCTTCTGGAAATGCACTGCAACTATATGTTTACATCTTATTTCATCTTGTTTCTCTTGTGCGTGCCTATAATATCTTCTAACTGCATGATAGTGCCAGAGTCCAAACTAAAGTGTCCCTTCCCTGAATTCTTACTGCTTTCTGTATGAGCTTGACGTACTTGAATGACCAGTATAGTTATTTTCTTGCCTATCATGTATATCATTCTGTTAATAGTTTGTTTAAGCTTCTCAGAGGAGGACTTTTTCCCGTTTCACACAATAAAACATTAACTGTGTTCAAACACTGCTTTGCCTGTACGTTTCCCACCCATTTTTTTCTTTACTACACAGGGTCCACTACCTAATACGTGTTGTCATTTTTGGCTAATGGTATGGCAACAGAAAACCAAAGCAGTTGTCATGCTGAACAGAATTGTTGAAAAAGAATCGGTAAGTAATATTAGGCACTTAACATAAGTCGTACAGTAAGCCACATAACTTTAATGCTGTTTAACGCTGTTCAGCCGTGTTTGACTGGTATGTTAAAAGAATTAACAGACTTTTTCACAGGTGTATAGCATAGTTTTTGTGTGTATTTAATGTAACATTAAACAAAGTGATGAAGCTAAGACATAGAATTCAGTTCAGTATAAACAGCGTATGCTTATCGTATGTTCAGAAAGATGAACGTTTCGGGAAAGGAGGCTGTGGAGGCAGAAGTACAATTGAGTAGAAGCTAGTGTATGATTCTCTAGGATAAAACAGAAGGTGGGAAAATAAATTTTATTTCAAGTTTCTTTAGCGTATTTCTTCTAAGTCTAACAGAGCAGTATTTTTGTTTATGTAGTGATCTTAACTGTTGATAACGATGGAGCCATGCTGCTGCCACCAACTGTCAAACAGGCCTAATTATTTTTCATTCTTTACGACTAGTGATATATATGAAGGATATACTAATCTCTTGAGATGATGTAGTTTTTTGCTAATCTGCCTAAAGCCACTGTGGATTTTAGCTACAAATATATGTATTATTTTATTTTTTTCCAGAGTAGTTTTATCAGCAAAAAGATTCGACCAGTCCATAAAAAAGTCACTTTTTTTTTTTTTTTTTTTAATTCTTGAAAAAAATCTGTTGTGTAAAGTTGGAGGGCGGGGCAAGAAAAATAAAGGAAGAGGGACAGTTTTGCATTGCTTTGTTAGTTCATTCTTTAGTTTTACTAGAATCCTCCAGCGTTAGGCAAAACTTCTGCAACAAAACAATATTTAGTCTTAGGAATTTTGGCGCAGTGTGTTACATAACTTCTGTAAATGTGCAGGTGTGTACATGGGAAATGGAAGGGGGAAAACGTTGAAATAGCTCAGTGGAGATCTCTGGCCATTGAAGAGAACTAGGTGGAAGGAGAGGGACAAAAAAGGGTTAAGGTATCTCTCAGAACAGTGCTAGCCCTGAGATTAAAGCAAGCATAAGCAGATACAGCTCGAATGTGTAATAGTACTTGAAACAATTGTAGTAGCTTGGTTGCGAGCATTATGGACGTTCAAAATTACTCATGCTAGGAAGAGGTAATATGTACGTGAGTTTACGGTATTGTATAACAGATTCTAAGAAGTTGCTAATGCAAAGCCCAAGATGATAGAATGAATGCTTGACCAGATTTGTTTGTTTGTTTTTTAAATAACTTAGGTGAAGTGTGCGCAGTATTGGCCAACAAAAGAAGAGGAAGTTATGATGTTCAAAGAAACAGGATTCTGTGTGAGGCTAGTATCTGAAGACATCAAATCCTATTATACAGTACATCTACTGCAATTAGAAAATATCAACGTAAGCTTTTTCTCTGTCCCTATATCTCCTAGTCCAGGGCTTAAGGGAAAATTGTTGTAGATGATGTGTTTAGCAAACTCCCTGCAGGTTTGACTGAGCTTTTGCACTGAAAATTTTAAGGTGTTTGGCTTCAACATTCTGATAATGTTGAAGGCGTATATGTGGCAGATAGGCAGAAGAGTTAGGTCTGTTTTAATCTATACAATAAAAAGGATAACAGCTTCCGCATTTTTTTTATACTTCAATTTTCAATTACGCAGTATCTTAACATGCTGAATATTAATTGATGATAGTGATGATTCTAAGAGGAGCCGTAAGAAGTGTCATAAAAGAAGGAATCTAGGAATTGAAATTTATAGCTCTTCCAAATACTAGACTCAATTACTATTTTTATGGAACTCTAGTTTCTCCCCATAATTTCAGTCTAGCTAACTATTTTTGGGGGGAGGAGGGGTAATTATCACCTGTAGATAGGTAACTTTACCTCCTCTTCCTTACTTCCCCTTTTGTTCCACAGGACCAACCGTCCTTTTCTCTTAAAAATTAAGCACTTTGACAATTTAATGAAGTTAAACTCAAAAAAAATTGTTCCTGGCCTGATCTTGGGTTGGAATTTGCTGCTTCTGTTTCAGAGCTGAAGACAAGATTGAAGAGCTTGTCTGTTTGTTCCAGCTATGTCTTGTAAGATATTCTCTCTCCCTATAAACCTTGCCTTATATTGAAAGTGGTGATATGGCAAGTTTAATTCAAGGTTATCAAGTCAATGGATTTGGGAAAGGAAAGCTTGAAGATACTCATTTGCATCTTACTTATTTGACTAAACCTTGATATATTTGGTCCATGTTATTTGAATTTATAGTAGCTATTAACGCTACTTTGAGAGAATGCTTATTAGTTTGAAACATACCTCAGAAGATCAATGTGATAAAATTTGGCATGTTGTTCCCCGGTTTAATCAATGTAAGAAGAAGAGAACTTCATGGAGTTCTGTCCTAGTGACTTAAACATACAACTGAACAGGAATTCTTCATTAACAGCAAAGGCAAAGAAAGAAGGAATAGTGCTTACAAGCTAGTAGCTAAAGAAGAAAATAACTCTCCTTGTTGGAAAGCTGAGGCAAGTCGTCTTTACTGTCAGAAAGGCTTTTTTATGGAATTGTGTCTAACATCAGGCTCCTTAATCTTAGACTCCTTATTTTTAAAGGATGCAATTTTCATGAAGCGTGGATGTTTGAGCTTAATGTTAAAGCCCGACATTCCTGGAAAATGCAGAAATCACATGAGGAACAGCACAGCTGCTCGTAGTTGCCTTTTTGGGTTGAAGCTATTTAGTATTTAAGTTTCTGGGTTTGCTTTGGACTTGCAGTGCAGGCTCATCACTTCTGTATAGAGATTCTTGTATGTCATGCAGCTCATTTTCGCAAATCCTTAGCAACCTTATTTTATTGAATTTTTCTTTTAGTTCCTCAGCTCTCCTATAAGGCTCCACAAATATTAACTTCAAAGAATATTTTTTTTAATACAAAACTACAACATACTTGCTTACTTAATTTCCAGAATAATACTGCAAAGTTTAAGTGCAGCCATCTGTAAGAATTTGATAAGTATGCCATAAAACTTGAGGGAATTGAATATTCACAGTAACTTTCAGCTTAACTACATTTATACGAGTCATTCTACAGGGGGATTTGGTGGGGGAAGAGTAGTAAGAAGCTTAGCCACCTCACATGTGCAATATAAGGTGACCCAGGCAAATGCTTCTGCTCTGAATTCCAAGAACACTTCACAAACCTTAGTATTTCTATGACAAGACAACTAGAATTACTGTCTTTAGTAAAACCCTTCAGAAATCCTTTCAAGTAAATTGTTTTTGTTACTGCAACAGTTCTAATACATCAGCAAACTAAATATGTACAAAGAATTCTAATAAGCTGCTTGTTCGATGGTTTTTACCTATGGAAAAAAACTCTCTGACTATATATAATGTGTGCATATATATGTATATATAGTATTTTAAGAGAAGTTAGAAGTACAGGTGAGGGTTTTTTGTTTGTTTTGTTTAGGATTGCATCATGACATCTGGCAGTTTCAGATGTTTATTTTTGCTTTTGTGGCTAGTGTTGTACAATAAAACTTTGGAGAGGAGGTGATGTTTATCAGTATCTTTAAAAATATTTTAAGACTTTTGGAATGTGCTTTATCTTGTTAATGATGTTGTGGAACTTCCTTATTTTTTGCTTGACAAGCATTTTAGAATACAGAAATCTGAAGCTACCTTTCCACCCTGGTTCATTGTGTATCCTCCATCATTTTATGTCTATTTCTCAATTATCAGCTCTTCTGAAAGTTGTTCCCTGCTTTTTGCTGCGGTGGTTCTGGTTTAGAACCTTCCTTGAGGAAAGACTGAGGGATACTATTTGTGAAGGCTTCTGGAAACCCTTGCCCGTGTCACAAAACAAGGACAGGGAAAAATATTCTGCTCATGTTAAACATTAATAATCATTTGTGTGAGAAACTATAGCATGTCTGTGATGTGAAGCGAAGGTCCCAAGTGTGTGGGAGAAGGTGGACTCTCGTGAACACCTAAAATACCTTTATTAAATCTATAAAGTCGTCATCTTTGATGGAGTTGCAGTTTTGTGAATGTTAGCATGTTCTGGGAGAATGGTTAGATGTTGAGAGCTAACTTCTTGAAGTTTCCTCCTTAAGTTGAATGTTTTTTTTCATATTATTTACTACTGCTTTTAGCTTCCTTGTGGCAAGCGAAAGTACTAGTATTTACAAAAGGAGAATTTACTGTGCCTTCGGTGATTTATGGCCTGTAATCCAGGTAGCATGGAGAAAGATGCAGTGCGGTTCACCTGGAGAGTACTGTATAATGAACGCTGATAGATAAAAAGGAATTAGGTTGGTACCGAGAAATTCAGGGAACCTATCAGAGGGTAAATGAGCATTCGTATTGGAGGGAGAACAGAGATGGATTGAGGGAGGAAATGGAGCAGAAGAAAGGACTGAAATTGGTAGAGGAACCTAGGGAAGGTATCTCAGACTGGGTCCCCAGAAATAAGGGTAAAGCAGCTGAAGAAGAGATTTGCAAAGAGAACGTTTTCCTGAGGAGAAAGGACTAGAAGAGGCCATCTAGATTGGATGTAACACTGGTGATCTGATACGTTATTGTTGACTAATAAACCCAGAATGGAAACTAGAGTACTCTGCAAATAGCAAGTGTTTGGAAAAACCCATTAGCAAAATGTACTCTCAACTTGGTATAAGCCATCCCTCCTTGCAGCCATTGCTGTCTCTTCAAGGTGGCACAGGACAGCTTTGTGGGCCTCCCTTTCTGACCCTGTTGATGAGCCAGGACACGTCAGGGTGATTCAAGAAGATAAGATTTGATTTGCTGTTAGTTTCCAATGTCCAAAATTTTAAATGTATTGAGAAGACGTTCTGCTTGTGGCAGTGAGCACTCTAATAGCAGGTGATACTCTGGTGTTTCTTGTGGAATCTTAACTTCTGTAGTTTAAAAAGAGTTCTTTATAGATATTTGTATATAAGTGCTACAGTGCTGTGAAGGAACTTCTGGAACATGGCTTACACTTGCTCTGAAATTTATGGGGCCTTCTTATTCTCTTTCACAAATTGCAAAAGGAGTTAATTTTTCTCCCTGTGATCTCAGAAATCAGACGGAAGAGTTAGGAAAAATATTGTTATCTAACTGAGGAAAAGGGAACTCACTTGTATGTCAGTGTTTTACAGATTTACTGGTTATAACGTCTACTGTATTGACTTACAGGAAGCGTACTAGTTATTGAAACCTGGTATACTATACTTATGACCTGGACAATTGGTTATGGTTTGATCATAATTTGATTACTCTGTGAGTGTTGCCGAGAGTCAGGGGAGAACTGTCCAGTGTGGTGATTAACTTCATGAGCTTATTAGTTTTAGCTGTGATGCTTATTTACTGGAAGATTATCCTAGTATTTTCTGAAACTTGCCCTTCGTTTGACTTACTTTCTTGAAGTTTTTTTTGTTTGTTTGTTTTTTAAAATATTGTCTGGTGATTGTTCCAGGTTTTATTTATTCCTAGTAGCTAATCTTAGGGAATAACTCCTGGGAAGAATGTGTTGTGATTACCATCGAATAAACTAGTTGTCAGTTACCAAGTAAAAATATGCTTCTTGCCTATAACAAATATAAAATGTACGTAGCCTAGCTGAATCTTGTAGTCTAGCTTTTTTCTTTAAAAGAATATCTACTTTCCCGATGATTTTAAAATAAAAATAATTTTTTCTAAAGTTGAATTTCTGTCAGTCAGCAGTTGTGGATCTTTAGCAGTCCAAACCTTTTGTGACTGTAGTTTTGCATCACTTTCACGTAAATAATAGAGCATGGGTAGGTACATTGCTCAGTAATGGAGGGGAGAGTCTCTGAAAAAAGGGTAGTAAAGACATTCCCATAAAGACAGTACTTACAGCTGTACAGCTTGACTGCCAAGAACCCACTTGAAAGAGCTCCTCTGTTTAACAGAGAAAATGTGGGAGGTTTGAAATAGTCAAACAGGATTTGGCTGTGCGAGTAAAAGCTCCAAGTTCAGAGAAGACCAGTCAGTTCTGGTGCTCTGGAACGAGGCTCCTAAAGATGAAGCACAATAGGTATTGTTAAATAAGCTGAGGTGGAAAATCTTTGGATCAGGGAGATCTAGGTTAAACCTTTTAACGGTACGAGGAGGAGGAAAAAGAGTAATTCTGGGTTAAAGCTGGATGAAATGCACAACAGCAGTGTTCTGTCTTTCTTGTAGAGATACCTATTTTCAGTTTAGTCTATGAGCAGGGTGACACTTGGCGATGTGCTGGAACAGAAAGTAGAAACAGATCATCTACCAAATTGCTGTGCAAGGGAGAAAGGGATGAAAGTGGGGAAATGAGTTGGTATGCTGTGGTGGGCTGGTGAGTGTGTATGTGTGCGTATATATTATACATATATATGTATATTCCTAAAGCACAATGTTGGTTTTTTTTTTTTTTTAAGTAGGATACTACTGCTTATTATGGTCTGGAATTCAGAAAAGATGTGCACCTTTGTTTTCTATAGATAAGTGCCATTTTTCTCCTCTTGAGGAATAAGAGAGGCTTTAATCTGGAATGCTATTTAAGAGTTTGAGAGGGAGATGTCAGTGTTGATAGGGGTGTTGGTTGATGGGGGGGTATCATCTAACTTCAGAAAAAACAACTTGTCTTTACTTGGTATGTGCATCTAGCTCATCTCTTCAGTTTTCTTAACTTTGTAAATTTCTAAGTCATTTTTCTTAGAAATGGACAAAATTGCTTAGAATGTTAAATTCCTTTTAAGAAATCTGGAATTTACAGAATTGTAAAGAAAGTATCTCCTTCATAATTTTAAAACGAAACAGTGTATTCCAGTTGATTAAGTGAGTTAATTCAGTAGTTGAATAACTGAGTAGAAAATACCAGTAAGAAGATCTCATTCTAAAACACAAATTTTATTTTGTACTTTTCTGCATCAGACAAATAAGAAAGGGAAATCTCAGGGTATTTATACAATTTTGGAAGCCTTGGTAGACGTTCCCTTTGTAATCGTATCCTAGTCTTATTTACCAGATATGAAGGACTGGATTCTGCTGTCCTTGTTTAGCTCTGAGCCAAAAAGAGTGACTTGACTGAGCTTTAATATCCACTGTTTTCAGTGAAAGTATTTGTGTGTTTGTGGTATCAGACGTTGAAGGCAAAATAAATTTGCATAAATTTGTTACCGTGGTAACCATGAACTGGATGATCTTAGTTTCACAGAGGTGTTTCCTAGGTTGTTCCTCATAGGAACTTGGAAAAGTCTGAGCAGGAGCTGAGCACTAGAATTTATTTGTATTTCATAAATTTATTCTTACTGAAAGATAGCTGTTCTGGAATGCATTGGTAATTTAAATCTTCTTGTGCTCCAACTTTGTGGAGACTTAGGTAGATTTAAAACTATGTGGAAAACAAGCTGAATTGGAGACTAAAAATAACTTTTCTAAGATTCTTAAACTACAACGGTGGTAAAGTTGTCTCAAAATCAACAGAGCAAGAAAAGAAGGGGGCAAGGGGTAGCATTTAACAGCAGGTCTGCAGTGAATTCTCTAAAGATGTGGTCCAAACCCGCGATCAAAGCTTTTCAGATACACGCGTGCTCTTTCACTGTCACAGTCACGCTGCCAACAATACTTGCAGTTAGTTGGTCAATGTTAGGAGAGAAGGAGAAAACAGTGCCTGGTCTCAGCATTTTTCTTGCGTATAAGGAATAAGTATTTCCAGGAGAAGTCCTGTTAGGCAATCTGCAATACGGGTTCTTACAGACCTTACTTGTAGGAAGCTTTATGGAAAAGTCTTATTGCCGCTGTCCATGGTGCGGTCAGTGTTAATGAGACGCCAGTACCTCTTGAGGTTAAAACTTGCTCTGAGCAAGAGTGGCGAGTGCTTACAGTGCTGACAGGTTTTTTTTTTTTTTCAGTCCTATCAATGCTAGCAGTCTCGTAATTACTATCGGCCATTAAACTGTGTTAATAGAAAAAAAGGAGCATTTGGGGGAGGTAGTAAAACAAACCAGGTATAATCTTGGAAGTTCAAGAGGAGAAAAATGTATGTGGTGACAGTGGCAAAAGGCAAAACTATCTGACGGGAAAGAACTGGATAATTACCAACAGTGTGAACTTGAAGCTAATTATTAAACTGTTTATGTCTAAGTGGAAGGTTTAAAATAGAGAGTACCTGTTCATTTGGATTGAGGACATGTGTGCTAACTATTCAAAAGTAGAAGTACTTTCTGGTTGCATTATTTATTTGTTTTCACTTCTAGAGTGGTGAGTCCAGGATGATATTTCATTTTCATTATACTACGTGGCCAGACTTCGGAGTTCCTGAATCCCCAGCATCATTCCTGAACTTCTTGTTTAAAGTCAGAGAATCTGGTTCACTAAGTCCTGAACATGGACCCGCAATAGTTCACTGTAGTGCAGGGATAGGGCGATCCGGCACGTTTTCGTTAGTAGACACTTGTCTTGTTCTGGTAAGTGCTTGGTCGTTGTCTTTGTCGTTCTCTTCCTCCTGCTCTTTTCCCCTCTCTCACCCCCTGTGTGGGCTTTTTGGTCAGAATGCTTTAAAGGTATTTAAGTAAATGACGTATCTGTGAAAATTTTAATTAAGGCATCGTGCTGTTTTGTTTTTTGTTTTTGATATTTTCATGATTTAAATTTTCATGATGCAAATCTTGAGATGGGTTTAAAAATCCATCTCGAAGTACTGTACTAGTATTTCAGTTTCTTGTGAAAGAAATAGTAGAGCATTCTTTTATATAAGATGTCATTTGAAAAGATCAAGATTTTTAAAATACTCATTTAAAGTTAGACTTGTGAATATTTATTTAGACAACTAAATCTATAAGTCTTTCCCATAAGCATGAATTATCTAGCAGGTCTGACTGGCCCCTTGTCTCGAGGTTGCAGAAAACTGGTATCTGACCTAGGATGAGAACTTGGTTATGTCCATGGATCTCCTGCAATGTGTAATGGAGTGTGGGGCTGAATTCCCCTAGCTGTGCACCTGCGCAGCCCTCCTGGGAGGTGGGACTTGGTAGCTAGTTACAGTGCCCCATAAATGAGTGGGGTTTCTGCTTGAACACTGAACTAAACCATTTATAACTGCTCATAATTTGGGTAAACTTTAAACGGTAACTAACAAAATCTGGAGCTTTTCTCTTTGGCTATGCTTTGTCAATAGCAAGACGTACAGCACAGGGCTAAGTAAAGTTAGATTTCATTTAAATTATAAGGAACAGTAATCTTGTATTTTGGGTAAGCCCTCTCAATTTATTTTCTGTTCTTCAGTTTTCCTTTTTTCTGTATTCTAAAAAAACATATTTTCATGCAAGTATACTTTAATATTCAAGAATTAAAGTGCGAATAGTGCAGATACATGATCTGAGGGGGAAAAAAAAAAAATCAGTGTTGAGTTTACAGGGAAAAGTGTTTTACATTGTTAGGATTAAGGATTCTGTTTTAAATAATGAAACTTCTCCCATATTCAGTCATTCCAAATTGCTGTTCCATTCAGGAGTAATAAGAAATACTACCATAGTTTTATGGTTCTGATTCTGATTTCGAAGTATAAATACATGCCTGAGTAAAATCAAGCTTATCTAAGTTTCTTAAGATTTACTAATATGGTATTGATTTATTTGGATAATATGTGATTATGGATTTATTCATAATAAGCTTTCATTAAATGCTTTACACTTTTTCTTCTGTAAAAAACAATTTAGAAATCCGTTTGAAACGTTACTTTCTTACATAATTAATAGCAACATGTGAAGAAATTAATTTTTAGTTAGAATTTTATGATTCATTTTTACCTAGGACTTAGTTCATGTGTGGTCTTCATTTATCCATAGCTATGAGATTTTAAACATAAATCTCTTTACAGATGGAAAAAAAGGACCCATTCTCTGTAGATATTAAGAAAGTATTATTGGATATGAGAAAATATCGAATGGGACTTATTCAGACTCCGGATCAACTAAGATTTTCATATATGGCTGTAATAGAAGGTGCAAAATTTATAATGGGGGATTCAACTATACAGGTAAATGTTTTGCTGTATGTGTTTAAACAAACAGTATATTGCTAAGAGTAGATAATAACGGGCTCTAAGCTATTTTAAAGCACTTAATTTGGTGGGAGTTAAATATCTTACCTTTTTCATTAGATGTCTACAAGGTATTAGGGGTATCTAATCAGCACTTTGTTAGCTAAACTTTTAATCCTATGTATTTGTCTTCTGTGAGATCAAATGCAAATATAACTCGTTGGTACTAATATAAAAGAAAGTTAAATTGATATCTTCAATATTGAAAGCTAAAAGTAATGTTCGGTATCATTTTGGAAGATGACAAGGGTGGGTCTCTTCTGAATTTTTTTGATCTTTGCTGCATAGTTTCCCAATACTAAAATTGCCTGTTGCTACAGATAAGGTTTATTAATAAAAGTTACATTTTTTCATAGCCTCTGAAATTTGTATTATACTTAATGGAATCTATGCCAGTATTATTGGTTTCAGGGCAAACAGATTGCCAAGTTTTACCATTTTCTCAGTGTGGCAGTGTGGCTTCCAGTAATTATAGTAGCTCCACCTACTTTACATGATTTTTTTTTCTCTTTTTTCTTTCTTTTTTTTTCTTTTTTTTTTTTTTTTTTTTTTTTTTTTTGCTGGAGGAAGAGAAGAAGAGGTTGTGTAACAGACTCAATTCTGCTTTCATATGCTAGGGCTTTTTTATTTTGTTGACCTGTTAAAATTATGAATGAAGCTGGTAAGTTAAAACACATTTCCTGTCTTCTGTGTTTCTGGTAGTTGTCGGATTCTTCCCTTTGACAAATATTCTTTGACTTAAGAATAAATAAGTAAATCATTTTACACAACCACTAACCAACACCTAGGCTGTTAGTTTGATATCTGCATCTTATGACCGAAACACTGCATGATTCATCTAAACACGAACAATAACTTAACCTCCTTATTTTCTGGAAGCTGCTTCTGGTGGTATGTTCCTCTAATCATCTTTCTGCTTTGTATATTAAAAAGACATACTTAAAACTGAGCGGCTTCGGTTCCCACATTTTGTCCATCTAGACTACAGGATTTCTTGTTTGTGGATACAAGGAAGCATTGTCAGCTCAGAATACTGCTTTTCAAATGTTATTTCTTCACACTAAGAACGTGCCTAAGAAGGCACATTTCTCATATTTATTCTCTTTTTTGGTGGTTGTTGAGATGACCTTTCCTAAAACAGCATTTTCTGCAGTGCAGTTAGTTGTCCGGGCCCCAAGGTCACATACAGACAATCAGTTCTTGTTCCACCCTAGCCAGCAGTATTTATAAGAATATTTCTCATTTCAAGGTCAACTAAAGCCTTTTTTCACCCATAGAGAAATGTCATGCTCTCCAGATTGAGAGGTGTTTACTCCCATCTGCTAATGATGGGGAGAGTTATTGAATGTAACACTAACTCTAATTTAACACTCTCCAAGTGCTCATCTCTGACTTCTCCAAGGATTTCTGAAGCTTGCAAACTGTGCAGACAAGTTCCAGTATGTGTTGCACTTGCTTTCAGCTAGTGGGGTGCAACTGCAGTATTAGTATCAGGAGAGAGAGTAGCACCTGTAGGACTTCTACCTGTGATGCAAAGAAAGGATCGTATACTTGCCTAGATTGCTCTGAAGCCCCACAGAGTTATATGGTTGGCGTGCCAATTGCATGGTTCTATAGCTAAAACAATGGCTTGCTTTGTAATTGTATTTCTTTGCCAGCATCTCTCTGATGGACACAAGTAGGTCTCCTAAAAAGGCTTTGTTCTGTAGGAAATGTATTTTAAGACCCCTGTCAGATGCAGCTGCTTTGTGGGTTCCCATAGTTTGTTAGTGGCTGCTTGAAACTTAACTAAGTGTGTTTTTTTTTTTTTTCTCTTTGTGCACAAAGACTCTCTCTGTGGATTTCAGATCTATACTGGAAACTCCCCTACAGTAGAGGAGTTGATTTACTGTTAAATCTCATTCTGCCAGAGGTTGGAAAACCTCAGTAGAGTAAGAATGTCTCTGTAGCTTAACTTGCAAAGCACCTGTGTGTAGCTTCATTTATAAATAGCTGTTCTTTGACATCAGTCTCTAGATCTGATATTGAGTTTAGACCAGCAGTCTTGAATTCTTTTCACAGACAAGTGAAATTATGCTGTGGCAAATCTAGCATAGGAAATTTTGTGTGAGCTTTCAGTCTAAGCCCTTACTCAGAGCTTTCAGGAGAGGATGGGGTGAAACTCTGACTCACTCTTAAAACAAAAACCCCCCTCCCCCCCCCCAAAGCAAAAAGAGTATTTGATGGAGTATAGACTAGGAGGACATCAGCTGCAGTGAAGGCTGGAGCAGCCAGTGTGTGGTGGCATTTTGTACTGGACTTTCCCTTAACTGTGAAAGAAGGGAAGTTTTCAAATAAATGGCTCTGGCATGAATGAGCCTGGCAAGAAGCTTCCATTTTGAGATATATAAAAAAGGATGCTGGTAGAAGAGAAATCATCTTATTGGAGACTGATGCTGTACTTGTCTTTTTGATATTGGCACCATGTATCGGTTCCAAAAAGTACAAATATGAAAATACATTACTAGAAATCTCAAAAAATGTTATACTAAAATAGGATTAGCAAAGAGGGGAAGTCCAAGGACTCCTGTCACTGCTTTTATCTGTCATTAGTAAAAAGGCATGTAAATACTATTCTCATTTTTAAGATAGCTTATATCAGTCCCACTCTTCCCCCACCTTCTTAACTAAAGCCTCTCATCTGCTTAAAAAAAAAAAAAAAACTGCTGCTCTTGCAGTGCTTTTGGATGTTATAAGAATTAGTTTAGGTGGCCATTTATCTAATGAGAACTGCCTCCAAAAAAGTGGTGTGAGCTCCTCCAAAACAAGGGAAAGGTATGCCATGAGGCCCAGCTATTCTGACAGAATGCTCTTGAAGTAAAAACAGCCTGTGCTGTATATTCTATTTTGCAGCAAAATCTATTTCTCAGCACCTGTGTCACTGTGGTCTGCCTGTGTTACAGTAGCATGTTGATACATAGCCAGACTAGGACTTACTGTGCAAAAGGCTTGCTTACTGTGCAAAAAACCAGCAAGGCTTTTGACACTCTCTCCCATCACATCCTCCTAGGTAAGCTCAGGAAGTGTGGGCTAGACGAGTGGACGGTGAGGTGGATTGAGAACTGGCTGAATGGCCGAGCTCACAGGGTTGTGGTGAACGGTGCAGAGTCAAGTTGGAGGCCTGTGGCTAGCGGTGTCCCCCAGGGGTCAGTCCTGGGTCCAGTCTTGTTCAATATATTCATCAATGACCTGGAGGAAGGGACAGAGTGCACCCTCAGCAAGTTTGCTGCTGATACAGAACTGGGAGGAGTGGCTGATACCCCAGAAGACTGTGCTGCCATTCCGAGGGACCTGGACAGGCTGGAGAGGTGGGCAGAGAGGACCCTCCTGAAGTTCAACAAAGGCAAGTGCAAGGTCCTGCACCTAGGCAGGAATAACCCCATGCACCAGTACAGGCTGGGGGTTGACCTGCTGGAAAGCAGCTC